GCTGGACTACTGGGGGGAGGCGCACGCGAGCACCAGCTCGGTGCGGGTGGCACGGGGGCTGGAGGACATGCTGCAGCTGGGAGCCAACGTCAACATGCAAGTAGTCAGCTGGCGGGGGGGCACAGCCTGGGGGGGTGATGCCCTTCCATCTGCCAGCATTGGAGTGGGCATCGCTGCTCGCCTTTGTCCCACAGGGCTCAGGCAGGAGGAGGCAGGCAGGGCTGGGACTATGGGTGCAGCAGAGAGGGGGCAACGCCTGGTGAGCCCCCGTCGGGTCTGTTGGGGTGCTAATGGGGCTCGCTGGGGTGTCCCGTAGGTACATGTTCCACGGGGGGACGAACTTCGCCTACTGGAGTGGTGAGTAGGGCCCTGCCCTGGGGAGCAGGGGCACACCGTGGGGCTGGGGGGCTTTCTTTGGCCATCCCCGAGGAGCCTGCTTCAGGCTCCTGTTCTGTCCCACAGGGCAGGCTGACACATACCCAAGGGTCCCTGAACCCAAGCTTGTCCCCCCCGGGGACTCCTTTTGTCCCCAGACAGGGGCTCCCAGTTCTGGGTCATGCCCCCCCCATTGCATTGCAGCCAGCCTGGGGCTGGGTTCCATGCCCTGGGCTCTGCCAGAGCCCCTTCCTCCAGCTCCCATCGCTTCCCCGGCCAGGTGCTGACTTCAAGGACCAGTACAAACCAGTGACCACCAGCTATGACTATGATGCCCCCCTCTCGGAGGCGGGAGACCCCACTGAGAAGCTGTTTGCCATCCGCACGGTCATCAGCAAGGTGCTGAGCCTGGCAGGAGTAGGGGGACAGCACTGGGCACCGCTGCCTGTGCCAGGGAAGAGGGGGACACAGAGGGATTTGGCAGGGCAGGGGACGTCTCCCTGCTTGCCCCAGGGGACAGCTGATAGTTTGCTGTTCAGTTTCAGCCCCTGCCCGTCGGTCCAATGCCACCCGCCACCCCCAAGTACGCCTACGGCTCGGTGGCCCTGCGGAAGGTGAGTGCCTGCCCTGAGGCCTGTGCTGCCCCTGCCTGGCACGGCCCAGCTGCCCCGCGCCTGTCCCTCTCTTTGCAGTATGCCAACCTCCTGGATGTCTTGGATGTGCTGTGCCCCTCCGGGCCCATCCAGAGCCAGTTCCCCCTCACCTTTGAGGCCATAAAGCAGGTGAGGGGCTGGGTGCAGTGGGGAACACTGGGGGAGATGCTCCTAGACTTGTCTGCCCTGCCCTGGCTTCGGGGTGGAGGAGCAGAGCTCGTCTCCAGCCCCGTTTCCCTTTCTGTGCCGCTCCGCTGTGTCCTGCAGGCCCATGGCTTTGTGGTGTACCGCACACAGCTGCCCCGGGACGTCCTGGACCCAGCCACGCTGGGTGCTCCTCCTCACAGCGTCTGCGACCGCGGCTACGTGATGCTGCAGCAGGTGAGGCTGCGGGAGCACACTGTCCCTGGCCCAGTGCTCGGGAGGGCTGTGGGACCTGCCGGCAGCGGGGCTTGTGCCATGCCAGGGTCTCGGGGACAGCCAGGGTGCTGAGAGCCACACTGAGCCCTTGTGAGGTAGCCCTCTGGCCCGAATTTCCCCCCCTTTGGGGGCGGAGGGCAGCCCTGGGCCGGCTCGGGGGGCGGCAAGGCAACGAGATGCTACGCTGGCAGGCTGCCAGCAGCGTTCGGGGTGGTGGGGTCTGGGCACAGGGTGGCAGTGCTGACCCTGTGGCTGCAGGAGTACCGGGGGACGCTGGAGCGGGATTGGCAGACAACACTGCGTGTGACGGGCAGGGCAGGGGACACCCTGGACGTGCTGCTAGAGAACATGGGCAGGATTAGCTTCGGGGCCAACGTCAGTGACTTCAAGGTGAGGGGAGAGAGCCCTGGTGCTCCGGAGGGGATGGCCTGGCCACCCACGTGGCCAAACACCCCCTCTCCTGCCACCCGCAACAGACCCCAGCCATGGTGGGGCCACCCCCAGACCTGCTCCCTGGTTAATCTCACACCATCCCCTGGCAAACCTGCCGGGACCAGAATAAGGCTGTGAGATCGGCACCCCTCTCTCCCACTTTCGCTGCCACAGCAGCCAGAGCAGTGCAGCCCCTCAGAGGGGATCCCATCCCACCTTCACTGCTGCGGCGGGGGTGTGCCCTGGGGAAGCCAAGCATCCTCCTGCCCATGGCAGACCCTGCTGCCTCATTTTCCTTCCTGCTCCATCTCAGGGCTTGCTGGGGAACCTCTCCTTGGACTCCAGCCCTCTCAGCAACTGGCTGATCTACCCCCTGGCCATAGACACTGCCATCCAGCAGGGCTGGCCCCACGCTGCCCTGCTAAAATCAAGCAGCGGGGGCAGAGCAGGGCCAGCCTTCTACACTGGGACCTTTGAGACACCTGGCATCACCTGGGACACATTCGTGCAGTTCCCAGGTTGGAGCAAGGTAAGGTGGTGCGTAGCCAGGAAAGGGGGTGAGGGTGGAGGGGCACAGCTCAGTCCCATCTCCATCTTCCAGGGCCAGCTGTGGATAAATGGTTTCAACCTGGGCCGGTACTGGCCCCGCCGTGGGCCCCAGCAGACCCTCTTTGTGCCCGGCTCGGTGCTGCATGTTGGCCGCCCCAACAACATCACAGTGCTGGAGCTGGAGGGGGCACCCCCTGCCCCCTTCCTGCTCTTCCTCGACCGACCCCTTTTCAACAAGACCCTCAGCCGCAGCACTGCGGCCACAGAATAAACGCAGGGCTGCCAGGCACCGGCATCGCCTCTCGCTGGGGCTGCGGAGATGGCAGGGGGCTGGTGAAGCACAGGGGTCAGGGGAGGGGCTGCAGGGCCCTAGGAAAGGGGCACGCGTCCTGGCACGGACATCCATAGCTCCTGCCCACCTCTGGGGCCAGGCAGGGTCTGTGCTAAGGAGAAAGGGGCTCAGAATTGAGCTTGTTTTGCATGTTAATCCCAAATAGTTCCAGTGCTCATGCTGACTCCCCCCACGCCTAGGGGGTCAAGGCACCTCTTTATTGACAATGCAGGCAGAGGAGGTAGTTGCTAACATGGTACAGCTGAGAGACCGATGGCATCCAGGAGAGGAGAGGGCAAAGCACAGCCCAGAGGGTGCCTGCAGGCATGGCTGCAGGTAGCTTGGGGCTGCGGGGTCCAGATATGTCAGGATCTGTCCTACCATGACAGGCAGCAGCCTCTGAAGTAGCCATGAGGAAAGCCAGCAGCAAGACCCCCCCAGCTGGAGCTGGGCCATGGAGCAGTCCTGGCCCCTCACACTGGTACGTAGGGACCTCCCGGTTGTAGCATTCCCAGAGTCACCACCCAGAGTGACATTTTCGCCCCGAGCCTTGCCAGAGTTGCCCTGGAGAGTGACATGGCCAGCTCAGTCCCTCCGACCAGCGCTGCTCCACAGGCTCTCCCTGGCTGCACAGCCAGTGCTCAGCCATGTCTCCACCCCATCGGTCCTTGGCAGGTGGCAGCAGTCCCCAGCCTTATGTGTGGCTGGCCCGGGCCCGGCGGTGGGTTTGCAGGCAGGCCGTGGAGCAGAAGGAGAAGTCAAGGTAATGGAAAGGGATCCGGCCCAGCAGGGACTCTCCACAATGCCAGCAGCGGCTGCGAGAAAGAGCAGAGGTGGCCCTGAGCGAAGGGGACACTTGAAAGTGGGTTAGAGGAGCAGAGAGGATTCACTGCCTGGGCTGTGACATGAGACAGCAGCAGCATGAGGGAGCTGGGGCTCCTCTGGTCCTACAGGGCTCACCCAGCAGCCTGGCCAGGACACGCTCCCAGGAGGCAATGCTGCGTTGGGCGAGGCACTTCGAGGCAGGCTGAACGCAGGGGAATTTGGCCCCACAGGGGGTTGTAAAGCCCCTGCCCAGACCAGCACGGGCAGGGCTGGCTGCCCAGAAGGCTGTGGGGTGGCACAGGGAAGGGACGTGGGATGCAGGGTCAGGGGCACAGGAGTGGCTGGGGGATTGGCCTGCCATAGATCTGGCTGCAAGTGGACCAAGTTGTCCTTTCCAAAATATTTCAGGGGGGCAGGGAAAGAGAGAGAGAAAGCTTTTAGACAGGCACTGTTGGGAATCGAGTGGACAGGAATAGCTTTAGACTGGAAATGAGGACTGGAGCAAGAAGGGCAGGGAACAGCTGTGCTCACGTGGGAGTTTGTCTGCGGAGCCGTGCTGCCGGGGCTGTTACCTGATGTTGGCAAGAGCTGTGCTGGCATCCTGCAGCTGCGCAGCCAGCCTCCGCTCGGCAGCCAGGGCTCTCTGGGGAGCAGAGAGACAGCTCAGCCCCGCCAGCCCTTGGGAGCTGCTGTGCCCAGAGCCCACCGCATCGGCACTGCCCCAGCTGGGCTGGATTCCCTTCCCCATGCACGGCCTCACCTTTTCCCTGTCGGACAGGGCTGCAAACCGCTGCTTCTCTCCCTGCTCCTGCTCCCAGCGCTGCCGCTCCTCCCGCTGTGCCTGCTCCCGCTGCTTCCGCTGGGCTTTCTGTGCCCGCTTCTTCTCCAGCTTCTTGGCCTCCATCTCCTGCGTCAGGGGTCCTGGCACCTGGGGGCAGAGCGCAGTCAGCATCTCCCACTGAGCCAGGGGCAACGGCACAAGTGGGCGAGGGGTGCTTTTCTCTGGGGTCCCACAGCCCCCAGAAGGCGAGGGCAGGCACCCACCTTGGCACGGCTGTAGTCGTACTTGTCCGGATGGTCCACCATGAACTTGCGGAAGGCGTTGCGGGTCAGTTTGTCAGCAGAGACGCAGTAGGGGGTCCTCTCCTGCCCGTCTCTGCAGAACAAGGAAGACCAGCTCACCCTGCCATCTTACTGCCTGTGTCCCACTGGGCTGTGAGCCCAGCGACTCCTCAGAGATGTGCAACAGGTACTGCAGGCCAGGATATCGCAGCCAAGGAGGGGAAAGTTGCTTATCCCTACACCAGAATCCCCTAAATCCTCCCCTTCTTGCATCTCAAATGCCCTGCAAAGGGTGGTCTCATCCCTACCCTCTGAACCGCCTACCAATAAACCTGGGAGCATTTTGGGGCAGTGCCCGCCTGCCGCTGTGCCAGACCAGGCAGGCAGAGAGAACAGTGGTTCAGCTCTTAGGCCTCCCATAACAAACCTAGACATCCCGGTTGGTAGAGACCAACCCCGGCTGCCCCAGGACAAAGCTGGCACCAGTCTCCCATGGCTGGGACAGGAGTGAGTTGCTGGGCTCCCACAGCGGGGCTGTGCTCGTCAACCGCTGGGCGCCCTGCGGCCATACCTGAGGGCAGGGTCCGCCCCCACCTCCAGCAGCAGGCACACAGCCGCAGCCTTCCCTGCCCGTGCTGCCACATGAAGCAGGGTGCAGCCGCGCTCATCCACGGGCTGGTTGAGCAGGGAGCGGGGCATAGCCAGGGGCTGTGCGCCCTCCCCATCCTCGCTGTCTCCTGGCAGGCCCCGGCTCTCTGGCACACCCAGGAGGTGCCGCAGCATCCCCACATCCCCCGTTTTGCAGGCGGTGAACAGGGCATCGCGGAGCTGGGTCTGAGGGTCTCCTGTGAGGGAAGAACAGGAGGGGAGTCTGATGGCTCCCTGGGCAGAGCGGTGCTCTTGGTCTGACTAGGAAACACAAACGGCGCAGTTAAAGCATCGTCCTGCTAGCTGGATTTGGGCACTGCAGGATCTCCAGCACCTTCAGAGTCTGTGGCAATGTGCCATGGTATTGCTGGGCACTGTTGGCAGCAGCCGAGCCCTCTCTCCTGAGATGACACCCACTCCAATCCCCCCCAACGCACCCGGCTTAGCCAGGTGCTGCCTGCCCCCCCTACTGCTCCGAACACACGGCTCACTCGACGGCATGTGGCTGCACTACAGCCATCCCACACCCAGCTGCTCTGAGCACCTGCGTGACGTCCTCTTCACCCCACTGCAAAGCCACCAGCAAATGGGGCAGGCACCCACCCGACCCAGCTCCTGACCCCACTTACCTCCATCGCCCCAGGAAAGGGGCTCAGCCCCAGCCTCCCCCTGCAGCTCCGTCACCAGCTCCAGGTCAGGCTGCCCACACTGGGTACCACGGCATCCTGTCTCTTCGGCACAGGGCCCTGCACAGGGAGCAAATGGTGAGGAAGAGGGCCAGGGCCAGCCTACACCCCAGCCATGGCAGTCCCTTCCCCAACGCTTTCCTGCACTGCCCCCGGCCAGTTCTTCCCCCTCACCTTTCTCCACCTTCTTGTCTTTCTTCTTCCTCCTTTTGCGGTTTCGCTTGGGCATCACTTCAAATTCCCGGAGGTCCAAGGTCCCCAGCGTCACTTCCACAGTCTCCAGTTCCCCTGCAAGGCTTTCCTCCTCCTCTTCTTCCTCCTCCTCCCGTGGGGCTGAGGGGCGTGATAAGACAGGGGCTGAGGCCCCACACACAGCACGAATCACTCGGGGCTATCAGCCAAGCACATCCTGCCCTTCTCCTGCCCAGCACGAGGCCACGCTCTGCAGATTCCCACTGTGGTGCCAGGCCCTGTCACGGGGCTGCAAACCGGGCCCCTGCGCCGTAACACCAGACCCCCCACTTGCTCCATGGCTCAACTCACCACTCGTGTCCTCCTGTGGGGGATCCACCTCTGCTTTCCGCCGCCTCTTCTGCCAGCCCTTCTGGGGGGATCCAGTGATGTCCTCCAGTGGCGTGTCCTTCCCTGAGCAGCAAGGGTGCTCCTGTCATTGCCTGGGGACAGGGAGCACCCCATGTCTCCAGGGACTGAGGGTCGGAGAGCTAGCACCTCAGCCCCATAGGGCAGCATCCCCTAACACACATGGGATTACACAAGGGACCACGTCACCCCACCTGCTCTGACCCGCAGGCACTGGGGCACCAGGGCTGGGCCGACTCACCATACACCTGCAGGCTGGCCAGCGTGGCGTGGACTCGCAGCACCTCTCGCAGGGTGGCCCTGCGGGTGCTGAGGGGGATGTGGCAGATGCGAGGGTCGCCTTGGGTGAGAGGTGGGTTCCTGCCACCAAAGAGCAGCACCCGGTTGTGGCGCGGGGCCCGGAGGAAGATGCGCTGAGCTTCATTCAGGTGCTGTGCCCAGGCTGCCAGCAGGTCCTGAATATCCTGGGGAGGAAGGGGAGGCACTATGGGGTCCTGAGCACACTGTGTGGGGGACATTCCTGTCTGGAGCAGGGATAGACTCAGGACAGAGCGGCCTCAATTGGGCCCTGACCCCCTTCCGGAGCTCACACCGCACCCACGCCCTCCAGCAGCAGTATGGTACCACCCCACGGAGCCAGCCATGACCACGTCTCCCTGCCGAGAGCCCAGTGCTGTGGTCCAGCCCCACCTTGAGCAGCACGGCCTCATTGTAACGCCGCAGGGAGGCTCCGGCCGACCTGGGTGCTGACCCTGGGGTCTGGGCGTCCCGTAGGCCCTGGGCTGTGCCCCGACGGGCTCGCACTGTGTAGCGGTGGAAGGTCTTGTGCTCCTGCACCTGGGGGCTGCGGAGAGGGGCAGGCATAAGCAACAGGGCCCCATGCATGGAGAGGAGGTGAGCTGATCCTCCTGGGGCCCCGGATGGTTTGTGGCTTGACCCTGGGGCCCTAAAGGTTAGTACTTCTCTTGCAGCGCAACTGGGCTTAGCCAACTCTCAAGCAAAGACTAGGAGCTGCGGGTGCCCAGGGTGTGGTAAGCACTGCGATGGAGGAGTAGGGAGGGGATGGCCATCCAACGCCTAGCCCCACTTGACCCTGCCCAGAGGGGCAAGCCCAGCTCTGTCCCTCTGTACTCACCCCCGGAACACAGCTCCGGCGAAGTGCCCGCCGCCCATCATCAGCACAACCCAGCACGTGCTCGCACTGAGGCTCTGCAGTGACGCTGTCAGCTCTGCTGGCTCCTCGCTGCCACCCTGAGACACAGACACCCCTGCTAGCACCCACAGGATCACCTTGCCACCTCTTGCTGTCCTCCAGGACAGAGACCAGCCCCTCTGCTGGTACCAGAAGCAGGTTTCTGGGAGCACCCCAGAGCCAAAAAACAGGCCACCAGCAAGCCTGGGGCTCTGACCTGGCACCAGAGACCACCCTTCCCATCACAGGACGTGGGGGACTGTCATACAGATGTCTACACCCCAGTGCCACCTGCCTTCTCTGGGGTCCCTCTCCCAACAAGCTGGGCTGTGACTTGCCTTCCCAGTGCCCAGCACGCAGCGGTAGGCAGAGATGAGCTGGCCCTTCGCATTGCGGAGCACCACCTTGTGGGAGCGGGGGTTCTGGAGGGTCGCGGGGCTGTCGCTGGCAGAAGGCAGCAACTCCGACTCACTGCTTGCATCGGAGCTCTCCGAATCGGACCCTGAGATGCTGGAAACATCACCTTGCAAGGGAAAGAAAATGGAGCAGTGGAGCAGGGCAAAGATTAATGCACAGCCTCCCCAAAACTTTGCAGGTGGCTCCAAGGGCCAGCCCACGGCCCCAGAATTGTCCTGTCTGATACCCTACATATCACATGGGGGTCATGGGCCAGGGAGACAGGCGTCTGGGGCTCTGGACCCCCAGGTATGCATAGATAGGGCTCAGGCAGAACATCCCCTTCTCCCCATAACAAGTCAGAAGGGCTCAGGAGCAGTGCTGGACCCCCAGGAGACCCCATGGGGCAGAATAAAGGGACCCTGAGCTGCAGGGGTAGCCAGGGGCTTCATCCCTGGACAGAGCAGCCCCAGCGAGGCTGCTGATGGCCTCTGGGCTCCACTGAGGGCAGCCCCATTCCTCACCTGTGCAGATCTTCTCCTCAAACACTTCTACTGGCAGCGTCCGGTGCCCCAGGAGTCTCTGCTTCAGGTTGAAGCGGTGCCAGTCGAGATGGTAGTGCTCAGTCTGTGGAGGAAAGAGGTATGAGCTGGCAGGGTCTCGGTGGTCCACAGAAACCCCCACCACCAAAGGGCCTGAGGTGACAGACTCCGAGGGCTGAACCAATGCTGGGACTCTGCATCATCCCACGTAACAGTTAACCTGAAAAGGCACAGGCCTGAGCTGCACGTACCATTTAGCTGCATTAAATGGCATTTTAAGCGATAATATGCAGGATCTGAGTGCCGGATCCCAACAGGACGTGGGCAGCGGAGCTTCGGGAAGCAGCCAGCGCTGGGCTGCACTGCACTGGGGCTGAGCCTCTGCAGCAGGACCCCGCCAGCCGTGCCAGCCCCACTCCCGCCTCACGCTGGCTGCTCGTCCCCGCTCACCTGCTCCTCCCGGCTGCCGAACACCTGCCCGCAGGTCGCCCCCCCCACGCTCCGGCACCTCAGGGACCCTGCGGGCCTTCTCCTCACTGCTGGCATCCGCAGGTTTCTCTGGAAGAAGGAAGGACTGTGCACAGGCGGCTCCCCAGGCTGCACCGCAGGACGCGGGGCCTCCCGGGTCTCTTCTCAGCCACCCAAAGAGCCCTGTGGCTGGG